TTTTTTTTGCGCTCTCGCCACGAGAACGCACAACAGCCAAACAGTAGTCTACGGTGCGGCCGAGGTGCTGCCTAAGACTCGCAGTATATGACGCCACCGTCACCCAATCTTCGCCTAGCTGAATCCCATCCCACACAAACCCCAGTCATACGTGCTCGGAACATGCTCTACTCTACCCCGCCTAAAGATCATGCCCACACCTGCAGCCGAACAGCGGCCAAAACAGCAGACTGGTGCAGCCCGCAGGAGGTAGTTGACGGGTCTTCCTGCCAGCTGACGGGCGGCTGATGGTGATCACAGACTCCCTCCGCCAGCTCCTCCGCCTGCCTCTGGATGAAGCTGCGGATGGTCTCCGGGTGAAGCCTCGCATGCTGTAGAATCGCGACTGCTGTGTCCTCGCTGCTCAGGCTGGGAGGCTCAACCCTGACCAGACCCGGGCAAAGCTCTCCTGCGTCCACTGGAGCGTCGAAAAAAGGGTCATCTTCGCCCTCCGCCATAGCGCCACGAGATGGCGCGGTCATGGAGGGCTGCTTTCCGCGTGTGGCTGCCTTCGAGGTTGTGTCATGTTCGCTGCCGTGGTCCAGTTGCTGGGTTGTATCAGCAGCTGGAGCAGACGGAGGCGGACCTTCTTCCTGGCGCCCGTTTTCGTGCCCCAGGGGCGACTTACGGGCACGCTTTGACACGGGGCTAGTAGTTTCTGCCATGATCTGGCGTGTGGAGCTTGTACGGTGGCGTGTGAATGTGCACGGCGCCTGTTCTGGAGGATTGAAATGGCCAACCATTGACTTGGTTTTAGAGCAGCCCCCCGTGTCCCCCCTCCCAGAAACGCGGAGAACCGCCGGTTACATTTTTTTTTTTTGTCACGGTTCACGGCCCTCGAAAACCTATAGGATGCCCCCCCCCCCCTAGGATGCGATTCAAGTGCCGTACACTACAAGTACATCGCACTTTTGAGGAAAGCACAAGGTGCTTATTGCAGGGAACTCTTCCGTCAAGCACTTTATCACATCATACCTGAAAGCCCGTGGAAGGGTATCGGCCCATCGGTGACGGCTGCCCAACCACCATTTTGTCCCTAGACCCGTTTTCTTCCTTCTCTCAGCGCCTCTTGAACTTTTTGTACAATCCCGCCAGCGCAGTCGGGCCGAGTACAGATGCACTCTCCCACCTTGAGAGGGTCTCCCTGGAGGTCGCGCTCATGAGGCCACTCCTGCCCTACCATTGCAGACCACTCGCCCACCTCCGCCCAATATGTTGTCTGTCCAACGTGCTTCCACCTGCTCGAGCACCCGTCGCGGCTGCCGGGACGTCCACAGGCGAAGCACAGTCCTAGCCCCCCACCTGGCGCTTCCTTACCATGCACAGCTCTCCCGCAGGAACCGAGAAAACCGCGGGTCATGGTGCGAACCCCACAAAAAACGATCAGTTTGACCGCTTGTTGCTGCTGACCAATCGATTATTTCGTAGCCGACAGGACGTAATCCCCAGTGAAACAAATTGCTAGAGAAAGACGAAGTCCTCAGCTATGCAGCCCACACCCTAACAGTTGAAACCACCACAGCCCCCACTGTTTAGGGCTGCTGGGGTGCGCTGCAACCCTCCAATCCTCGTGTACCGGCTCTCCTGGGAGGCAGCTCTGGTTATGCGCCTACAGAGCAAATTTTCGGATAATTCTTGAACCACCCACTGCATCCGCTGCAGTGTGAGTAGGACAACAGTTCACCGCGCTTAAATGCTGTCTGGCGTGGACCCGTGGCTTGTTGGGGTTGGTCGTGTGTGATGGTGCGGCTTGCTGTGCCCGGGGTTGTAGGAGGGGGAGGTCGGGTAAAAAAATAAATACTGCCTGCGATGACCCGGCGTAGTTGTGGATTGGCGTGCATCACCCACACGTCACGCCTGACGCATCGATTTGTACCGTTTATTCTTCTCGACCCTACAGCAGCAAAACTTCTACTGGACCATCCTCTCCGCAACACTCTCCGTGCTCTGGGTGACCCGTACTGACGAATAAGGTGGCCAAAAAAAAAAGCGGCGGAACCAAATTGTCATAACACGCTGTAGAACAGCAGCAACAACAGAAGCAGTTGAAGCAGAAGAATTTTAGGAGAAACAAATATACACACAGAAAGACTACCCGTTCGAGGTATAACTACACTCGAAGGGGATGTGTTGAAGTCTTTACAGTGAGTAGAGGAAAACCAGCTGGGTACTTGACTTATTTCGAGTTTGTTTAAGCCTATACACTGATGATTTATATCAGTGATACCAGTTGGTGCTTAGCACAAAAACATCTGCGTAGGTACATTTACATGTGGCCTGCACAGGGAACACGGCGCAATATGTCATGTTGACAGTAGTTGCTGGTTTAATTTAGAAAAATACATATATTAGGAAAAACAAATATGCACACAGAAAGACTACCCGTTAAACACATAAAAGCTCCCTGTTCGAGCGAAAATCATAGTCGTTCGAGGGGGGCTTTTTACAGCAGTATTTAGGAAAAACAAGTATACGTGCAGAAAGGCTACAGCATGTACATATGCATCATCATTATGACAATCTCTCTATTCAACTGTCATTTTAGGTACGTATCTACATACAGTCATGTATGCTACCATTTCAACAGATACCCTTGCTGTATATTGGATGGGTTAAAACCTAGGGTGTGCGGTTAGATGTCGGAAGACAAATCA